CAACTAACAATTGCACCTCAAAGTGCCTTCTCGAAGGAGCCGGGGACTATCGTTGGAGCTATGGCATCACTACCACCAACGCCACCCTGATGCAGAAGCTGGTGACGAGGATCGAGTTCGCTACCAATTATGGTTCAAGGATTTTCTTGCTGGAGAAGAAGGATAGATACCATACTTTTGTGCTGTTGGGGAATGAGCTTAGTTTTGAGGTGGATTTGTCGACTGTTGGGTGTGGGGTTAATGCTGCGTTGGGGTTTGTGGCTATGGATGCTGATGGGGGGGTGGAGAGGCATAAGCCGTGGAATGAGGCTGGAGCGGAGTATGGGACTGGGTATTGCGACGGCTGGTGTCAGGATAGGCAGAGATTTGTTGGGGGGAGGGCCGCGACGAATAAACAGGGGGCGCGGGGGTACCAGTGGCAGAGTGATGGGGCTTGTTGTCCCGAGTTTGCGGTTTGGTGAGCTGTTGAGATGTCTTGAGAATGGATAAGGCTGATGACGATGCAGGAACTCGAACGCTCATTCATACTCGATGTCTTCGCATATTTGTGAGAATGATGATTATGAACCATGCCCCGGACCTTGGTGCGACCCGACATATTATGATCCTGACGAGAGGGGCGTTCCACCAAAGTGTGCCAGGAAAGGGTGCGAGTACAACCCGTATAGGATGGGGGCGAAGGAATTTTATGGGAAGGGGAAGCTGGTCGATACCACAAGGAAATTCACGTGAGTGTTATGCTTCAGACTCGCGCTATGTCTTGCTGACAAAGCCTCAGTGTTGTGACTCGTTGGGAAGAAGACCATCAGTATCAGTTCTTTATCCAAGATGGGAAAAGGATTGATGTCCCAGCTCCAACGTGGGATGGGCTCCCAAAGCAAAGCGGCTTAAGTAAGGAAATGTGTGATGTACAGGCCAACGTCTTTATGGAGCAAGACATCTGGGCGGTGCATAATGGCTGGCCGACACACCAAAGGCAGGTGTTGAGCCGGCCCATGGTGTTGGTGACATCGATTGATGCGGCTGATGTGAGTGTATATTCTGGTGCTGTGAGATGTTTTGCCGCTAATAATCTGGTGGAAGTGGTATACGTGGAACACCTGGCTTGACTCATCCAAGATACCCCCTTATGATGACCGGGATCCTGGTGTTGAGCGTGGACCCTGTCCATGGGAGGATAATGAACCCTTGATTGCTCGAGCAAGCAATGGTCAAGCGTAAGTCTCCTTTGTGGATGGTGAAGAAAGAATCTGACATGACACAGAAAGGTTGTGTGGTCCAACATCAGATTTGGGCCTATTGGGTCAACAGTTGAATTGTGAGGCCACATTATCTACATTCCTTTCAGCTTCGTGGTTTCGAAGGCTGTGTACCTTAGAAATCGTTAGTAATGTATCCCCAAAATATAAGATAATAAATTGATAACCTCAAGTGACTTCTGAAATTCCTCGAAGCACAAATTTATACGTGCACTTTATCATGTAGATCGTCAGCGGTGGCTGGCATCAGCGTGCAAAGTGTGATGGGCTTGCCAAAATGCCATGTTATACGTGTATTTTAGAAGACTTTGCTAGTGCCAACCATCCTTTCCAGCATACCTTATATCCTGTCATACTTGATGACAAGGGGTACCTATTGCCAGCCGTCCTGAATCTTCCACGTTTGCACCATTTTTGCTAACACCTGCAGCACAATGGCAAGCCATGCACCACCTGCACTGCACAGTGGATGTGTGATGAGGCTATTCAGAGTCTCTTCCACCGGCACAAGGATAGACAACAATAAGTTAGAGCAGGCGAAATGTTTTCTTCCACGGCCTAGCATTGGACAGCCAGCACTATCTACCTATCAACACCATCATGGCACCGCCTGGCAGCCCCGTCTGCCACCCTGCCGCTCCGTTATGCACGAAGAAGAGATGAAAAGAAAGAGAATAAGCCAATAACCGGATTCTGGTGCCCACAGAGTTCTAAGAATTTCTCGGAAAACATTTTGAGAACCTGGCCACTTCGCCCAAAAATAAGGAATGCCTGTAAGGCCACGAAGGGCATAAGTGATCCCCAAGTTGGTCAAACAATAGTAAAGATATACGCGAGAAGTTCTAGCCCCTATAGGTAATACCTAATGTTATTATCCGCTTATAGAAATCTCCGGGTCACGGAACGTATATAGGATCTCACGATAACCTAGAGCGCCGCCGTCCCTGGCGGAACGTCGCCTAGGACACAATAGCCGCTGACTACTCAACCCGAAATGTGCTGCCAATATGGTTACATGTATTCCCCCACGTCAGTGCGAATGACAGATGCTAAGTAGGAGATTTGCCTGTGCACTAAGAACCTCCTATGATTCCGATCCGCTAGGGCCTTCCTCTACAATCTAGCGGGATTCGTTTTGTTAGTGAAAACAGGCAAACCAGCCAAAACACCTCCTTTACGCTAACAAAACGAACCCTGGCATATTGCAGCTAATACCGAACAAGAAAAGCGTAAGAGTTTCGCCTTACACATCCTATTTTACTGTAGGATATAGCGGCTTAGCAGTATCACTGACCCCTCAAAGGATGGAATTCACTAGAGCCAAAAATAGCGCTTTTACGTCCGCCAGAATAAGGACAAAGCTCTGGTCCATACAGATCAAGCCAGCCGCAGCGGAAAAATTGCTCCGAGGACAGCTGGCACGGACACGTTGGAACAGATACTATGTCCCGAACATGCCCGAACAACGTCTCGTATTCTAGAGAGCGCGGCCCGAGGTAGCACCGAGACGCCCACGCCCATCTAGTCCGGCATCTCACCTAGCTGCAAAGCATTCCACCACCTCCAGACCTCAAGAACTCTTGGGCAGGGTACAAGCATCTGTCCGCCTTAGGATTCATTGGGTAGGAAGTCTTACGACCGAGGTCAGCCTGGAACGAAGCTGCATGCTCCTGCGTGCTTTTTGACAGCAATTATCGGGGAAAAGCCGTTCCAATAGCTCAAACCCACTTTGCCCATTTTGAGCCAGATTTGAATATGTTTTTCTTGGACCAGCTGAATGAATTGGTGTCTCGAGGGGAGCTTGCCAAGTTGCAGTGTGCCGAACGGTTAGCCATGCGGCGAGCAAGTGAATATCTCACCGAAGAGTGCAAGTCGCTCAACCTTCGGCTCTAACGGGCAAGTACTCCTTGAATCTCAGTTCCTACCGGACAGCGGCCCCCTCTCACCATGGCCCAAGAGAAAATGGCTCCCCAACACGCCCTCCGTGCAGGTTCCACGCCTGCTCCCGGTAGCCTTGATTGGGATGAGGCATCTGACCTGGCGAATCGGCTTGTGACAGCGGTTGAGGCACTCATCACTTCAAAGATGGCATAAAGCGCCTCGACAAAGAAAGCTCCAAGCAACGGACAGCCCCGACCTGAACGAGGGTCGAAACTAGGATACAAGCGTGTGGATGAAGTGTAAGTACCAACGTAATAACTACAAACCGAAGGCTTACCGCGTGATAGTTTGGACGATAAAGCGGGTAAGTATAAGATTACCTCATCGTTAGACTCGGAATCTAGCGAACTCGACTAATACGTATTTGTTGTCCGGGACAGAGTCGGTAAGTTTCTCCCATGCTTTTCTATAGCTACTAACCAGCATTCCAGACAGGAACACCCTGGAAATAACCTCTTTTATCGACATCAAGTCCCCATTCCTACGAGATATCCTGCTTGATGTCAGAGATATGCGCTGTGTCTCCCTGGCTGATGCTACCCCTTCGGTATGGCTTACATTCACACTTTGGAACTTTGGTTCTAACTCAGACAGGTTGAACGTCACATTCTCTTCCATATCCGTGAGGAGCTGGAGTTGCACTACAAACATCTCGCAGACAATCCCCAGGCCGCTGAAGCCCATAGAGTCTTGCTGGAATACGTCAAGACTACCTACGGCCCGATCCAGCAGCACCTTGACGAGCTTCTCTAGAAAGGAGATTACGTATGACCTGCTGTGGGCCCTTTTCCGACCGAACACAGAGGCTTATGCTACCTGCCGTGGCACTGGTGCACCGAGATGCGTCATTTACAATCACTGCGAGGAGATGAAGAGACTAGCCGGTTCGAGATATCTCCACGTTAGTACCCGTTTCCTGAACAGTGATGGAAGGGTACTTGGGGAAACCACCGTGTGTATCGAAATTGACATCTTCCGGGGGGCTAAGCGGATCGAGCTTCTCTCGGTATATCCTCTCGAGTACCACCCCGAACCAGACACAACCAGGAGACAGATTATTGAATGCGGCCGCGAGTACGTCTCCTTGATGGGTATCCATCATCGGCAGTATGACGGCACGGTATTCTACATTGATGATGTAGGCGAAATCGTCCGTTGGTATATTTAGGGTAGGATCATGGTGAATGCCATCTGTTTCCAGGAGAACAAACCCAACTATCCCTGTCCGCGAGTTCAAAAAGTGCGACCAAAGTATTCGTTTTGACGCAGGGCGCCATGATCAAGCTTGAAAACCTTGATCCAGATCAGCTGACGGAGAATGAGTCTCTCATCTGCGCTCCAACTGTCTTAGATTTTTAAAGACCAAGATATTCCGTTCGTTCCCCTTCTCAAGGTAATGGAAATCTGCTAATATGTCGCAGTTGATCTCGCCGTCACTAATATTAGCAGTGTTGAGTGGGGCGAAGCTTCCTTTGATAACATGAAGATCCCCGAGGCGCAAAAGCTGCCGATTCGGGCTCTGACGGAGACATACCAGTAACGGGCGCCTGAGGACGGCTTTAAGGATTTCGTACAAGGGAAACGCCGCGGAATCAACTTCCTACTTCAGTTTGTAATCTTAACCCTCTTGGAAGAGCTATTTCTAATAAGTAACAATAGTGGACCTCCAGGTGTTTGGGAAACACTGACCGCAGAGGTGTTGGCAGAGTCCTCTCCAATTCCATTCTATATTGTAAGTACCTTCGTATATTCCGATTCCTCGCTGACCCAGATAGGTTTCTGCTGGGCAGGTAGGGGTAGAGCCCACCAAGGTGGAACCAATCCTGAGAAAAGTCTTCAAGATCGCAAGCCGCTGGAGAGTACTACTGCTCCTTGATGAAGCGGATGTGTTCTTGAGTCAACGTTCGGATAATCCTCAGATTAACGCCCTGGTCTCTGTGTTCTTGCGCGAGCTGGAACAATACGATGGTATTCTGTTTCTCACCATAAACCGATTGCAGGTATTCGACGAAGCGGTATTTAGTAGGGTGCACCTTGCCTTGAACTACGAAGTATTGGAAGGAGGCCCCATCCCCCTATCACCGACCAGCTTTAGGTCAGGTGTAGATAAGAAACCTTGTCTTCGTCGCTTAGTCCGTCGCCGAACACGAGGGAACGGTGGTCAACGAGAGCCACCTGAAGACGTCTATTGCTGGGAAGAGGGAATTTCTAAACCGATTTTTTAGGGCGTAGGCGCTATCGAAAATCGAAATTATTATTTGTGAATGGGTACGCTGCGGACTACTTTCTTATAAAGGAATGAACGTTTAATATTGTGTTGACGGACTAACGTGGTGGTGACTTGCAAGGCCGCCACTACCGCTTGAACAGATGTAAGAGCCTTGCCCGGTGCCGCCGTTCTTGCGACCTGGGCTGTGTTCACGGCGGCGACTGCATGGGCGTCAGGTGCACCACGGGTGATGACTGCGAAGAGGTGTGGAGACTGCTACGGTGATGAGAGAGGGTGGCAAGTGTAGGCTCGCGAATCTAAAGCATCTGGGGAAGCCTGTGACACTAGAACTTCTCCAGCAAGCCGCAGTACCAGTACCTCTAGTGTCTCCGGGATCAAGAATACTTCTAGAAAGAATTGCGGTAGCAGACCTAGCAGAACCTCTTGAGGGTCCTGAGGCAGCAATGTTTGTGGAGATGTTGCAGCATGAAAAGGCAGCAAAGCCTCTGGAGAAACTAGCCCTAAAAGCCTCTGAGCCGGATATGACTTTTCTGATCTCGCATAATAGCCGCTCTCTCCAATCTCTACGGCTTAAATCAAACGAGATAGTACTTTTAGACGGGCAAGATTTCGGTCTACAACATTACCAGACCGTGATGCCTGTCGCCCATGCGGTGGGAATCTCCGTGGTCCTTTCCTTTGCCTTATATCTCTGGGAGGGACAAGGCCACAGCTTGCTCCGTAAAGTCAATATGCTGTGGAGCCTGGAACGGGACTATTAAGAGGAATGGGTGAACGAAGAACTGAAGATACTGAAAGCTCTAGACACCTATTCTCCGTGATTTATGTGCTAACGTATGAAGACGCTCTTTGTTGTGTGGCGGATTTACCCCTCTAAAAAAAAGAAAGCGCCTTCTACTAAAGACAACGACTATTAGCGTTGTTTCTACCAAGTCGATCGCAACCTCTATATACACTCTGTGATTGATGCCTCTGTGGGAAAGAGTATAGTTGTAGGGCAAGTGATCATTCCCCTCCAGCAAATTTAGCTAACAAGGATAATAGTGTGTGGTGATCCAACTTCTCTCTTAGTTTTTGTAGAGCTACGATTGCCCGCTTAAGTGCGACTGGACCAGTTGATTTCACCGAGGTGCAATACCGACCAAGTAGGCCAGTAGTTAGCGTCGCTGATGTAGCCCACGTGTTGGAAAAAGGAACAGGTGAGCGCGGCAGCTCACCACGTCCTAGGATGGATAAGGAGAAAGATGAGTGGGAGGATATAACACTTAACTCTCCAGCCTCCACGCTTGTAGAGGAAACACATGATGCCCTGCAAAAGAACAAGGAGTAGTGAAATAAATATCCAGGTATCCAGTTCCCCTGTTCAGACCGTTATATTATTGTACATCTATAGTAGTCCACTATGCATACCAACTGTATAAATGCCAAGATCTATGCTCAATGCCTCAGCATTTTCTAAGACCTTACAGTACCTAGTCCGGATCGTGATATCCTTCAAAGATATGTTCCGCTTCCCATTTCAGAAATTCCCCAAGTTATGCCCTAGATTAAAACCCATCGATACGACATACTCATTTCCGTCAACATCGTAACTTACTACTAAATCAAGCATCGGACTTTGTGGCAGGCTCTGGATACTGCTCATACTGGCACGTTTATGTGAGACATCAAACCCTTCTGACTTCTGCCCGTCGCTAAATTCGTTGTATTGCTCGTCAACTTATATTCACTATGCTGCTATATAGAGTGCCGGAAACACTTGATACTCTCTTGCCCAGCGCTGATGCTGTCCGGGATGCTAGGTGGAGCGCCGAATCTTATTAAACTGGGGCTAGGTGTTGGTCTCGTCTCGCACTCTGCCGTCGGCTTCGTAACAGCGGCTCTCGAGGGCTTGTTTTCGGGGTTTTCGGGATTTGCTGGTAGAATCTCTGGCTTCTGTGCGGCCGCCGAGATTAACACTCCTGACCCGTCGAAGCCAAACTCCGCAAACCAGTCCACAATATGATCCTGGTCGTTGAATTCAGCGTTGGGTGGTTTTGAGCAGTCGGTAGACTCGCCAAAGAAGTCGCCAACGCCGCCGATAATGGCCATCTGGAGAGCAGTCCAGTCCAGTGTGTTGTCGAAAGCGGCAGTAGATTTACCGGCTAGCAGATCGGCTTTGTTCAGGCGTATAGGGCCGTGACGAAACGTGGGCATAGTAAGTGTGAAAGGTGCCGCAGGTAGAAAGATGTAGTCGCTGTCGGTCGCTTGTCCAGGTGAAAGAATGGGTTCAACGGTGACATCTGGGATAGTCGTCAAGATAGCCCATTTTCTGTCACGATTGTAGGTTTTCCTAGGTGGTGATGGCCTGGAAAACGTGGTAGGTTCTTTGCTATCGCTATGGCTTTTCTCCGCAATGTACTCTGGAACTGGGAGTCCGTGTTGGGGTCAGTTTTAGGTGCTGTCGTTTGTATGACTCGGGAATTTCTCTTCGGCTCGGAAGGGACGAGTGGTCGGCATCGCAGCCTGTGGCAGAAGCCGCCCGTCTTAGTGGCCCAAAGATTCTGTCGGCGATGGCCGTCGCGTTGCTGCTCCCCGCCCCGGGCGCCTCGCGGCCGAGGTGTGAGACGTAGAGCATCGGAACAACGTAGTCAGCAAGCCGGACTCGCTGCATATACCAGGCCCTCCTGGAGCGGTCGCGAAGTAGCTCACGGCGGGCTATCCGGGTTGCGTGCTCGACGGGGGCGCGGTCAACCAGAAGCGCGTAGTAAAAGGCGCCCATGAAGATCTCAACCGCCTCCTCATTCAACTTGTACGCCATGGCGAGCACCGACCATACCCCGTGGCCCTAGACGCTGGTGCGGCGTTCCCCCGCCATCGTCCTTGGAAAAGGACATTGAGATGGCCACAACCCCCACCGCAACATTCGAGGAATTGCACGTTGGAGATGTGATTCTCAAGCGTGTTACAACGGACGGTTCGCCATCCACTTTCATGGTGCAGTTTACCTGGGATCTATGCGCAGAACACCGAGTGGGGCAGGGGCACTGTGGAGCGGAGAATCAGGGCACCACCACGAAGAGGCAGCGTCTAGCGAGTCAGAAGAGCAACCGGATCACTAAGCACAAGGACAAATCAACCTCAACTTCAAGGAGGGCGAGGTACACCCCGGCAGACGACGCAACGATCCTTCGGCTAAAGGGGCAGGGGCTTTCTTGGATCGAGATCGCCGAGCAGTTCCCAGGGCGCAGTGCCGGGGCTATCCAGTTGAGATATTATACTAAGCTCAAAAGGGAGGAGGAGTGGGAGGTCGAGGCGATGTGCCGGCATAGAACGCGGGATGACGGCGACCTGGAACTGCTGGTAAGATGGACGGGTGGAGAGGAGACATGGGAGCCCTACGAGAACATGGCAGAGAACATGGCAGAGACGCAGGCGCTTGACGAGTATGAGCATCTTCATGCGCACGAGACGTGCCCAGGTGTTGGATATGCAGCAAAGACACCGCTGCCCAAACAGGCAAGGTTGCTCTCCATTCCATTTCGAGTGGGCGATGGCGATCCCGTTGACGCCGCAACCGGTACTGCAAAGGGGGCCTCGATCCACCAGTCGGCAAAGGATTGCCTGGAGAAGCAAGGTCGCGCTGGCTTGCTGCATCCTTGCTCTCCAGAATAAAGAGTGGGGTGAAAAAGGCATGGTTGCTCCTTGGCTGGTCGCTCCACTCGCTCAGAAAACATCAAGCCCAGCGCGGCCTTGAACGTACAAAATGCACACGTTCCCCCGCTCGCGAGAACTCAGAATTGACAGCTTGGAGCCAAAGTGGGAGGGGTTCATGATGGCGCAGGCGTGTGGCTGACCATCTCGAGAGAGCAGGCGTGGCGAATGAGGTGCCTCAGGGTAGGCGTGGGGTGGCCCCTCGAGCCCCTTGACATTAATCGGTGATGAGTTTAAAAGTCCTCAACAAGCCTCAATGACACCAACACCCACTGCAAAACGACTGGTTCACGAACTGATTGTGCCTTGGACGCTAACAAAGACCCCTTTCCAGATTTGGACAAGCCGGTCCCTCTTCCTCGTCCCTACGAATACATTCACTTCATCCCAGAACCACTCTTAGAAGCGGTAGCTCGACATATTGCCTTGTGCTCTTTGTAATGAGCGACCTGGCACGTACGCCCGCAATACGCAACGGCTTTGCACCTCCCGCACAACATGTACTGCGCAGGAACCTTTTCGCAATTCGCGCAGCGCGCCAGTGCCGACAGCGAACCCCTCACATTGCCACTTCTGCTTTCCACCGCCGATAGCAAATCCTCCGCTCTCTTTCTCGCCAATCTTAACACCCTCTGTTCGCCCAAGCTAACGTGTGCCGCAGCCCATGCGTTACCTCCCGGAGAATAGACACCCTCCGCGAGTTGTTCTTCTAGCTTTTCCAGCTGCGTTCCGAAACTGTCTAGAAGATGAGAGAACGATTCTATCAAAAACTGCAGTACTTCCACCTCGTTCGAATCGCTGATTTTCTCATCTGTAGCATTGATTTGCCGAAACGCTATGACAGCGAGATCCGATTCGTCTGATCGCTGAATACGGAGGTATCGAAGGACATTTTTCGGTAGCGGATCGGTGAGAGTGAGGGGGATGGTACAGGTTGAATCGAGTCCAGCCGATACCCAGAGCTTATGCTTTTGCTCGAAAATGGCGCATTAGGGTGCGTTGCAAGAACGAGATCATAGCTGTCGTCAGGATTACCGGGCACGACAAAGCCATAGAGACGTAAAAGGCGACTATTCGGAATGGGTCCGTAAGAGATAAAAGCCTGAAAAAATCGTCCCGACGTAAATAAGTTGGTAACTACCATCAGAGAACAAGACGAACATACCTGATCTCCGGCTTCGTAATCTTTCCCTGCAAGGACAGAGAGATTTCCAGACGAGACATCGTAGACATGACACGGCTTAACCTCGGACGAATGGTTCAACATATCTGCGAAGGGCGCCAGAAGTCGGATCGAATTTCCGTCGGGCAGTGCAAAATCCATCGCACGACTCCACACGGTGCAGAGAGCCCACTTGTACTAAACGAAGCGAAGAAGCGTTTAGCGGTTGAGCTGCAAAATCTATCACAACGTGTATAACACCTACATCTTCGATGGTAAATTTGTCGAGTGGCAAAAGATCCCGATGCTGTGCAAGCACTCCCACGACTAATGCCCTGTAATCGTCATCGATCGATCGATCCAGCTGCTTCGTGATGGTGTACAGTGAAGTTCCAGCGCAAACTTCCAACTCGTCCTTCGAAAAGAAGATGCTTGACGAGTAGCTCGTAGGCAACGCCGCCACATGGCTTCGCAGGCCATCGTATCCCGACTCGCGAGATCTGATAAAGAGAATGTACGTAGCCAAAATGTCTTCGACAGACAAGGGCGGCCGCGCGGAGCGCAGAGCTGGTCCAAGAAGGGGATCAGCGAATGCATGCTCGACCGTCCAGAGAACGCCACATGGAATGGTGAGAATTCTCTCTCCTTTCTTGAAACGCCGCAGTGCTCTGACACCGCGCCCGGTGACCGGGAAATCGGCAAGCTCCAGGTCGTCTAAGCCCACCGCTCCAGATAGTTTCAGCCAGCTTTCCATGGAGTTCGGTCGAGAGAGAGTGGGCGTCAAGAAGCATGGGGGGAGAGAACTGTCAATTCGTAGCCACTACCAGGTGACATCTGAGCCATATTTTTCGCTCGAGAATGAGCAGATATGCGTTGCCCCCGCTCGTGACCGGACTAATTAGCCGGCCCGAAAGAAAAGGGATGGGTCAGAATCGTTCGTTTGATACCCCACCAACGCACTCTTCAGCTTCATGAGTCAATCAGTCAACCCCGCCCTGCGCAGAACCAACCCACTCCACTGGCTGCAAAAATAACCGCCTTCGGCACACAAATCTCACCATGTCGGCTATGGATATCGTTTCCACGGTGACCATCCTCATTAATTTGGGATTGGAAATCAAGAACCGACTGGATTCGCTCAACCAAGCTGCCGAAGAGCTTCAACTGCTGACCACCAACCTTACACTTTTGTTGAAGGTGTTTGAGAGCCCCTTGAACGAGGACATCTTCAAGACCAATGCGTCACAGTTCGTGCCTATCCTGGATGTTCTGGAAAGCATCGCGCGTTCGTGCAGAGAATGCGCCAAGGCCTTGGACATCGACCTTGCTGGAGCGACAATTGCGACTAAGACAGAGTCGCGCGGCAGGAAATTTGTCAAGCGGATATGGACTTTTAGCAAGATTTCTGACCTTCTCGCGGAAATTCAACGCAAGGCCGAACAACTTCAACAGGTATACAGCGTAGTGTTTGCTGTGATTCTCCAGGACATCAGGGTGCGACAGGGACGGACGAGTGGGAAGGAAACTGTTGAATTCGCCGTCGTACAAACACCAACTACCCATGAACACCTGCTCGACCTGGACCTCAGCACGGATTTTGCTAACATCGACCGGATGGTGGGAAGCCTCGTGAAGGAATGTGAATACCTTCGGCGACGACTCCAGGAGGCTACTCTGTCTCCGGACACTTCGGTTGTTCAAGAGTACCAAGCGCAGAACCCAGAAGCAGCATCATTTTGGAAGGATCGATTCCAAAAAGACGAACTCAGCGCCTCGACTCTTCGCTACGAGGTAAGGACGCTCAAACTTACTCTCCCCCAACCTCCCCCCTTCTCCCCTCTTCTTTTTTATAATTTTCAATATTACCGCATCATACCGACATATCGTCTCTTGACAGACGCTGTACGTTTCTTGGGCACGCTTCGTGCATGAGATAGAAGCGTCTTTTGTGCTCAAAAAGATACCGACTGGGATTTTTGAAACCGGAAATATCGACCTCGTTCACCAGCGAGGATCTCGCTATGGCATCGACCAAAGCGGCACGCGTCGTCTTTCCTCAATCCGGCCTCTCTGGCTCCCTGCTCTTCGGTCTGCTCTCGATCCGTTACACAAGGGTTACGTCAAGCCTCACGACTATTTCAATCTTCTTCGCGACTCCTCTTTGTCTGACTCCCTGAGAAGGCTGGCCCTCGAAAACGCAGGCTACGGTACACTTGTCGAATGTGAAAGGGAATCCGGGGATCTTCCCTTGCCGGCGGCAATTGAGTCCCCTTCTGATCACGTCGGCTGGATCTCTGCTCAAATCGTGGCCGTTCCAACACCTGATGAACTTGGAATTGTTACCGAACGAGAGATCGTGAAATCAAGCAGCGACGCCCTCTTCGCTTACTTCAACGATACTGCCCAAGACGTTCACGTTTACGTACGCTACCTTCAAACCGGTCAAATCGAGCGTAAAAGTCTCTCGAAGCGAGTCCGTCCGATCGCGGGCATCTCTCTCGGCGCTGCGTTGTCTATCCGGCATGAGCTAGAATCAGGTGATCATGCCTGGAGCGGTGACCTTCACATCACCGAGTTCAAGGCATGTTACGGGGAGCGGTACATTATCACGGCGGGTGTGGGTTCGACTGCTATTGTGTTTTTCACGAGGCCGCTCAAGAATTTCTTCGACAAGATGCTACGCGACGACGACAACCCCTCAGGTTCTACCATACCGGAATTTGAGTGTACACTCTTGGGGCCGTCGAAAGCATTCACCCACCCACCGAAAGTTGGCGAAAAGATCCAGGTACGTATTATTTCGGCCAGAACACCGTGCAGTACATTTTATTGAAATGAAATTTGTGATTCGGTAGATTGAGTACGACGGACTTTGGTACGATTCGAAAGTCACGGAAGTGGATGGCGAAGAGATAGAGTATATCAATTGGGACAGCGCACCGGAACAAGTACCATCCGATATTACAGAATCTCAGGACGATGGTCAAGGGGATGAGGAAGATAGCGGCAGCCTTTTCTTTCCCGAGAAGCAGTTGACGCAACTCGGAAAGGGCACGCGGCGGCTGTGGCGACCATGGCGGAGAGACCTTCAAAGGTACGACGTTCGTCCTTATCGATGCTTCCATATCGGCGACTCTATCGAGGCACCCGTCATGTACCCGGATTTTCGATACCATTACCATGTTACCGACAACTCGGAACTCTACCTTCCTGCTCGAATCGTTGACGTCCAAGGCGACCAGTATGTGATCGAATTCAGTCCGGCGCTTTCGGTTCATAGGTGGTGGCCAGGGAGGATGCCTAAGGGTGAACGAATAGACTTAGTGCCAGGATCAGGCATTAAGGCAGAAAACCCGTTCGACTTCAATCGCGTGACGGTAGGCATGGATCGGATACGTCCTTTCTCTGCGGGGCCACGACCGGTTCTGGGTGTTCAGTCAGCGAAGCCGTCTGGGTGGAGTTCATTTCAAGGCGTTCGTCTCAGCAATCTTGAGGATCTTTTGGAGCACAGTCTTTGGAACGACAACAGCGATAGCCAGCGAAAGTGAACTACATGGGTTCGGTAGGTCTGGACGCAGCGCGGGAGCAGCGCCGGGAGCGGGGGCACCCTGCTGGGGAGGGGGTCGCGACGCTGCCGGACTCGGAGTCGGATATTATTGTCGTGTCTGGGGAGTATGCGCGGAAAAGGGGGTTTGAGGTGGACAGGGGAGGTACGGGCAGCTGATGGTGGGATTTGCGGATGGGTCGACGGCGTGAACAGAGGGGGTGGTCAGGGGGCTCGAGTGGTAGTTTGAAGGCGCGGGTGGGAGGACGGTGGTGTCGGCGGCCTGAGAACACACTGAAGTGCGGTTGTTTGGTGGGCAAGCGGTTTTGGTTTCTTTTACCCAGTCACTCGCTTCCTGTCGATTACCCTCCTTTTCGTTCGTTTACCGTAGCCACTCGAATTTTCGGTACGTTTTTGGCGTCCGTCGAGGCAACGTGCTCACAACGCCTTCTCCTTGGGCTTCGATACTTGAACTCGGTGAGCGGCCCGGCACGGGAAGCGTGGTTCGCCTAGCCCCGGATCTCCAGGAAGGAAAACAACTGGGAGTTCTCACGGCAAGCTGTCCTGAGAATATCCAAGACTACTGGCCGGCAAGACTTGTCGTATGGCAACGTTGCCCCGTAGTGCTTCCACTTGTTGACATATGGAGTGAAGTATCCATGTTGGTGACGGCGCTTGTTGGCGCCAAGACATGGACCCACTACGGACGCAGCCTGCTGCGTCCGTAGTGGGTCCAGTTCGCTGGCCCTATTGGCAGCAATGATTTACCGCAGAGCCGCGACAACAACGCTGACGACCTCGCTGTTGATCAGCTGTTCTCCAACGCTCTTCTTTCCTTTATCCGCTAGACTTGCCAAGTGGGTCAAATATATGCTGACTTACAGCGCCTCAAAGAGGAGATAAAGGATCTTAAATCCATGATTACCTCTTGGGTCAATACCTTGCAAACTCACCAAGATGGTCGACGGCGTCTCCACACAACACGACGAGCGATAGGACGGCCGCAACCTGCGGTGTTTAGCACGGAGAGTGTGGCGCGCTCTTTCCTCGACGCTTGCTCTCAGTTTGAAGGGCGCTTGGAAGAATTCGGCCAGAGGATTGAGGATGCACTGTCTAGTGCCAATACACCCTCCAGCGGCGATACTCCTGCCTACGATCCCGCCGACCCCCCATCTAACCACCAGGAATGCCTCTTCGAGTGCCGAGTCTTTTCCCACTAGCAGCACGCTGCCTAATACCAAATCGCCTCCTATCAACATTGTCGCTCGAACACCACTCCCATCCACACCTGCTTAACGTTCTAGCGGTCGTGATGGTCTTCCCGACGCTCCCCCCGTCGCTCGTCCCGATACTCCACGACCCAATGCCCCTCCCGCTCTACCTCTCGACACTCGTCCTGCTCCTCCTGACGCTCGGCTTACTCCTTCCCTCCCCGGCGGCCACCCCGATGCTCCTCCCGACACTTTTCTTGCTCCTCTAACGATCGTCCTACTCCACTCAACACTCCTCCCGGCGGTCCTCCCGATACTCCTCTCGACGATGTACCGAAGCCGATTTTCATGCTTAAGCTCTCGAACTTAGGGGAAGCTTTAATTCCGAAGCTATAGACTTTTATCCGAGATAGTAACTTTATTAGTAAATTATCAGTCGAAGATATCGGGCTTATACTTACGGCACTTATAGATACTATTCGGCTTCTTAAAAAAGCCTCGTTTCGATATATAATTTAACGTAATATACTAATGAAATAAGGATATTTAGTAGCTTTTTAGTAACATGGTAAAGGAACTATAATTCCCCGACCTTTTTAATATTATAAAACCTTTTAGTGATACGGAATAATACTTCGAAAATCTGACACCGACGGACTGGTGGATACTGGGCACGTGTGGGCCACGTGGGGTATGTGAGACTCTGGGAGCGAGAGCAAGTCGTTAAAGCTTTGCCATGTTCAAAAGCCCTGCTTTGCAGGCACAGTTAGAATTTCCTCTCTTTTCTTCTTTAGCTTACAATTAATCAATTGGTATAGTATAATTGTTGCCTTATTGTGACGAACCCCTACTAGAACTTCTGAAAAGGATCCTAATCGAAGGCGCTTCTAGATAATCTGGTTCAGTGCAGCTAAACAGTGCACAACAATGGCTTGTCTCAATCACAATAGTTTTGATACCAACGAATGTGACTTGTATTGCATACTGCGGAACTATCTGCTACCATCTAGTTCCTCCGTATATGTCACGGGTAGCACAGGTTGACAGGTTAATGACAGTAGTATTCAGCTAAGCTACAGTCTGGGCTCTATTCCGTCAGGTACGGGCAGGCTCTATTGTCAAGACGTAGCTCAAAGAGCTACAAACAGGTCTCGCGGCAGCGAGATGCAAAATCTTTCTAGTCGCATTGGCCCGTGCTCTGCACGTGCCAAGCTCTATCAGTGGATCAACGACGGTCACGGTGCAACCGCCGTGACAGTATATATAGACCTGGGGACTGTGGACCGTGGACTTATAAACGGTCTTTGGTCTTTACTTTATTGGTTCTACTTGGACCGTGGACCGTGAGCCCTGCCGCGGTCCTCGGTCCTCATTTTATTAGTCCGTCCTAGCTACTAGACCGTAAGCCTCGCTCACCTTCCCGGTCCAGTCTTTATTAGTCCGCCAGTTCTCGCCTTCTACCCCAAATCGTGACAATGGGACATAACCTCTAGTAATTATTAATATTAATATAAAAAAAATTTAAAGGATTTAATAAACTAGTGAAATAAGCTAACCTTAAACTTAACTTCGCTTACGTGAAATTCTGGCCAGATTACTTTAGCTTAGCAGCTTATCTTATAAAATAAGCCAAGCTCAGCTTGGCTTATTAACTACCCTGCAATTGTGTCATGGGTTATGAAGGTTATACTGTGTTATATGACGTAATTTACACTGGGGATTATGCTGTATTTGCTTTTCTTCATATAAATAGTTATGCTTCTTACAGCAGGTATTATGCTGCTTGTGCAATGCGTAGAGAGTTAATTATGCATTTTGAGATTCATACACTCAGTCTATCAGAAGTATGTTATGTCTCTCATCATCAACACACACACTTCTTGAGCACCTACACATATCTCGATACTTTAAAGCAACATTTACATACCCAATCTTCCCCACCATTACCTTCAAACTACTTATCTGAGCATTTTAAAGTACCAGTCCCAGCTCCAAGAGTCTCTTCTAAGACTCGATTCTAGCATTGAATCTAGAAATCCGAGTTTTATACTCACTTTAGATATAATAATCTTAGCCTTTACAGTCTCTGATAAAACTCAATCCTAGCTTTAAATCCAAAAATCCCAGCTTATTGTTGACATTAGATCTAGTAATCTAAACTTTCACAGTCTATTTAAAAGACAATTCAAGGTAGCTTTAAATCCAGAAATTCCAGCCTTTATTCCCTACTCAAAGGAAAAGCTGTGGGAGGCAACGAACGTGTGGGCAAACTGGTGATATTGGTGATGCATAGAAAGAAAGGAAGTAAAAGGCAATTGGCCCAGCCCAAAGGTAAAGAAGACCTAGGAGCAAGACAGTGGGCTAGTGTCAACGCTCAAGAATCTCTTTGACTTTGTGCTTTAGCTTTACACAGTACGCAGCGCTACAAATACACAATTCTAGCAATAGCTTTATATATCTTAATCAAGCCATTAGTCTGAACACTTGAAGGTGCTTATCCCAGCGTAATACTGACTTTTGAGCTAGTAATTTAAGCTTCACAGACCATTTTAAAACCAAACCCCATCCTTGAATCAAAGGGTCCTAGCATTTAGTTTTTGCTTAAACCAAAGTCTCTTTAACATACTTATGTTCTCCAGACCACCTAGCTCCAAAGAAATATAATTTTAGCACTATTTTTTGGATATATTAGTTAAAACATAGCATCCCCCTTCTCGTAAAACCCAAACGGCACCGGACCCCTCGCCCACCTCGGCTGCACTTCCTCCCTGATTCCCTCCCCTTCAAACCGCACCACAGGCCTCAAAATACCCAACCCCCTCCCCCCAAACGCACTCTCCCTCCATCGTTCCCACCACTCCCCCTCCTCCCTCAAATACCCTCTCATCACCCCATCCCCTTCCCACCCCTCCCACGTCATCCTCAACAATTCCAACACATGATTCTCCCCCCTCATCACTCCCCAGTTAAACCTCTCCTTGCATCTCTCCACCACATGCCGAGGATACAAACCCACCTCCTTATCCAAAAAAAACGTATCAACTCTAACCAAACTCCCCCTCACAATCCAGCTCTTCCCCTCTCTCGCCCGATTCAACAACCCCATCATCGCCCCTACAGCACAGACAAGCCCACAAGTCATATCGCTAACCGGCAAACTAGGCAAGACCGGCTCCCCATCAGCCAACTCGTAACCCCTCCCCATGACGTACGCCACACCAGAAGCACAATCAGCCATCTGCTGCCACCCGGGCCTACTAGCATACACCCCAGCAGGACCGAAGCAATTCTCCGTCACGTACACCACTCCCTTGTTCCGTTTGACAGCCATGGACAGGATATCGTGTTGGGAAAGACCGTATTTATCTAACGCACTGGGACGGAACCCCTGAATAAAAACATCCGCTTCGGCTAACGACTCCTGAAGCTTATCCCTGTCGGTGGGATCTCGAAGATCAAGGCAGGTGGTGATCTTGCCGGCTGTGAGACTGAGCTGAAGAACAGACATATCCGGCAGATGGGGGGCGTTGATTTTGATGACTGTTGCCCCTAACGACGCAAGGATGGAGGAGGCTACCGGGGCGGCGATGATGCGGGCTAGCTCGAGGACTTTTACCCCTGACAGGGGGAGGGGGTTGGTCGTGTTGAGAGCTGGGAAGGGGGTAGGTGGTAAGGGGACGGAGTGGGAGGGTGGGGGGATGATATCGATTAGCGGGTGCTTAGCCAGGGACTTTCCCATCGAGGTGGCGGACCAAGAGGCAGGAGTATGGCACTTTGTCCCGCAGTGACCGGC